GGTTTCTTGCCGCTAAATACAAACATTTTGGAAGCAAAAGACTAAATATAATACAAATTTGAATTAAATCCGTACATACAAACAAAAATGCATGAGAAACAGTCTACTTTTTTTCCATTGCGTATGTTTATCTACGGCCGTATTCTTTCCTATTGGCTGTCGCTCCCGAAAGTCGCTCTTCATTTGCATAAAGTTGAAGGATTCTGAACTTTGTCACGTCGCTGGACACGCCCCATCCGTCGCCAACGGCCGCTGTCGCGCTAGTCGCCGGAAATCGCCAGCTCTCCATTGAAATGAATGGAATCGTGTCGCTTTGTCGCTTGGAGTGTGAACGGGGCTTTACACGGGCGATTCAAAGTTTACTTCAGGATGTCAGTGGCTCAGATTGATGCTTTTGCTAGCGATACTAGAGCCACATATTAAAAAGAAGACCACCCATTTCTGTGAACTCAGTGTGCAAGGATCTATATACAGTGCTTTGTGCTGCGAGATGAAGTGGATGAACTTGACAATTGCCATTCTGGATTTTGGCATCTGAACTGTCAAAACACCTCTCAAAATGCTTGCTACGGATGCGAAAAATTGAAAAATTCGAACCCGATCCGAATTTTTTTATGACGGACAAATATTTCGGAGGCAGTGTGTAAACGTGATTGACATAACGTGAGGTCGTATTTATTTTTTAACGTGCGAAAATTTCGGACTCAGTGTGCAATGACCTTTACCGTAAAATACCACCTGCTGTGTTTGCCAGACATTTACCATGAAAATATGGTAGCAACATTTCAGGTTTTACAGACTTAATATATAATATAAATATCTGTTTTGTACCATACACTGATAACCACCAAAAAGAGGTGGTGATGAGAGCTCATCACAAACAGCTTTTCCACAAGCTGAGCTGGTAAATACCAGGGGTGTGGACTCGAGTCACTTGACTCAGACTCGAGTCCCAAATTTGATGACTTGCGACTCGACTCGACATAATTAAAGAAGACTTGAGACTCGACTTAGACTTTGACAGCAAGGACTCGAGACTTGACTTGGACTTGAGCTCTGTGACTCGGAAAGACTTTATGATCAGATCAAAGTCATTATAGACGCGTCCCTGCAGCATGCTTGCGCTTGACTGGCAATAAGCCAGAGACTGCGTTCAGGGAGCGCTGGATAGGCTAGTATTAATTAATGGAGTAATAGCATAACTTACGACAAAAGAACAGAGATAATAAAAATAACAAAAATAATAATCGTCTAGTAGCGATCTCCACTCGTGAAAAGCGCTGCCCTGTCCGTTTGATCGCCGCCCAGCAGACACACGGAGCGGGCATGAGAAACGAGAGGCGCAGCCGCGATCACTTCACTGGTACTCTCCTCATCATCACTGTGACCGCTGCTGTTAAATATTCCTCACTTCTTCTGTTTGTCTGACACCGAGGTGCACCATGAGTGAAGGATCCGCATCCCGTCACGACCCTCACACTCTGCCAAATCGATGTGCTTTCATTTTCATTTTTATTTGTAATAAACACCTCTCTCGATCAGTTACATATTTTAATTGCATGTGCATGTGCATTTTTATTTTAAATTTTTAACCTCCATTAACCCTTAAATGCATGGACCTGGACCTATATATATACAGCACGGATGGATCTTTAACTGCTGCAATATCAAAAAAAAACTCTTGATATTTTAAGAACAATTACAGATTACATTACATCTGCCTCATATTCACGATCTCAACCATATTCTCAAAACTATCGTTTTCAATGACTTCATATTCAATATTTGGATCACTGGCAGCTTATTCACCACATCTAGCATCAAATGACAGTGACATTTATATTTCATTGCATATAATTGCTCTGCAGTAAAGCCATTCAAACCACATCAATTTTTGCTGATGATATTCGTTTGTTTTATGCCTACGGTAATTATGAGTGAAACGTCACGTCATTATTGTATATCAAACAGTGCCACCTTGAGGAAAAAATATGCATTGCACATATTGAGTCATCAGAAATGTAAATATAGTTGTGCAGGAAAAAATACTTACACATTTACATACCTCGGGTCTCTAGCGACCCTATACACTTTTTACAAAAAATTAATCAGAAAACTGGCATTCTTTTATATTTTACTATTTTTTTTTCTTGTTATATTGTTTATAACTAATAGATTGAGGAATACTAAGAAAGTTGATGTCTAACTTAAAAAAATGAAGGAGGGAGAGGGTAGAGAATGATGTCCCGGGTCGCTAAAGACCCGAGGTATGCATTTAAGTGTTAAGTTTAAAGTTAATCCATAATTTAGATTTAAGTCTGAGTTTAAAGTTATGGTGCAACAGGATTAAAGTTAATATAAAATATAACTTAAATATAATATAACTTATTATAAAATTTAAATATAACTTAAATCCGATCAAAATGATGGGTTAAAAATGTAAACCTGCTTATTTTTAAAGGTTTGAAGTTTGGTGCAACAGAATTATTAGATAAACCTTGATTTAATCTAGATTTAAAATTTATTATTGCAAACCATTCAGCTATAATTTGAAGAAGAAAAATGCACATAGGCCTAATGTCTGAAGTGAGCAAGCGGCAATATGCCTAATGATAATTTAAAATATATTTCGAAGAAGTGTTTCTTTCACAAAATGATTATTGTATATATAACTATAAAATATAGGCTTCTCAATTTTTCTCCTTCTTGCAGGCACTCATGTCACTTCCATTTCTTTCGGGATAAATTAATGAATTCACGTGTTGTAAATCAGTCTGTAGGCCAAAAGCGCACACAGCCCCTAAATTTAGCAATCAACTATGCATATTATAAACTTAACATTTAACATACAACATTTTTTTCTATTAAATTATTTTGTCTTTGTTACTCTTGGTTATAAAGGATGGTAGCACAGCATTTTTGAATCATTGTCTTAATAAGTTTGTCTGCATCCATATTGCATGTTTCCTCTCACTTGCAAAATATGCTTGCAGTTATTTCTTCTAGTTCTTTCAAAGCAGTTCTTTCTGCGTTTCCACTCATATATTTTTAAATCCGTTTCATTGAGGTTCCAAATAATGTCTCATTGGCTTAGATGTAACACCTAGAAGCATATAGCTATTCTTATGCACACTTGCAAAGTATGTTGCAGCTGTTATTTCTATGAAATTATGTTGTCTTTGCTATTCTGTTACTAATAAAATAGTTTTTTTCACTGCTTATCCTATTTTGGCACAATCCCTAACTTGAACTTGAGCAGTTTTACTAAGGGCACCCATCTCACATGAAATTGAACTATGTCAAACATATTCTACCTGCCTTCCTGATATAAATTACTATGAATTTTATATGGTAATTAATACTGAGACACTAAATTGGGCAAAAAGCACTAATGACTTGTTTAAGACTTGAATCTTAAAGCTGAGGACTTGCAACTCGACTTGAACTTGCCTGTCTTGACTCGGGACTTGACTTGGACTTGTCTGTCTTGACTCGAGACTTGAATGCAAAGACTCAAGACTTACTTGTGACTTGAAAAACAATGACTTGGTCCCACATCTGGTAGATGCTAATATGGAAGGTGCATAGTGTCATTCACATGAACACTAAACACAATCATGGTACCACATGATACTGAAATAATGCAATAAACATTAATTTAACAACATTAGATGTAAGATAAAACCCTAATGTACGCAACTGATAAGAAAAAAAGAATAAGAAACATATTTCAATGAAAAAACATAAAATGTGAAGTGTCAAGCAGGGAATTCTGGGAATGTCAATTTATGGTTTTTCACTGTTAATTATACAATGACTTGTTCTTTTTCACTTCCAAAAACCAGTATAAAACAAGTATTTTACTGTTAAATTACATTAAATGTAATTACAGTTATTCACCTTATATAGTACGGAAACTTAAGCAATTAACAGGTTTTTACTGTAGCATTTTTACAGTGTATCTGATACCGATAATGTTCTTGTCTGATTCTGTTTTTAAGCAAATATTATCATGTCGAGACTGAGAGGTTGTAATCTCATTTCCGGGCTTTGATAGTATGTGAGTCAGAGCGTGAAGTCCCTCTCGATAATGGCTGTAATTTGTGAAAAGTGGTGTTATTGAATGTCTGATGTGATATAATGGTCATTACTGATACTTGCGCTGCCTGTCTGAGGCAAGCAAATAAACTTTTCTTTTCTTTTTTAACTAGAGATACAACAACAGTGGGTCTGAGTGTGAGCCGTTATACCAGCAGATCTGTGTGCGATTCAAGCTCTAGATTTCCACGAAAGAGACAAGTATAGATGCTGGAGTGGAGGTGGAGATCTGCTCTTGGCTTTCTGACAGACCTGAGCAGTTACATAAAAACCTGTCAGCTCAGCAGATGATTCTTATACTGCACTGCATTAAAAGCATTTTAGACTCTCTGTGGGTCTGTTTTCCGAGTCTTTTGTTGCTGCTTCAGTGTTGTGCAGGTGTGTCCCAAACCCAGGCCCTGTCATTAGCATTTTGTCTGTAATCTTTCGTAAAAATGCTTGGTTCTTAAGTTCCCAATCTCTCCTGTGTGTAATTTGGTGGCCTGTTCAGGCTGGCAGCTGTTTCGAATATTTGGCGCAGAGTTGATCGTGGGACATGGCTTGTGTTATGTAATGTCATATTGTAGCTTTAGTCTGGCTGAAACCGAAAGAGTGTGTGAGCAGGGTCTTTATTTCAAAGGGTGATCGAGTTAGAAACACTCACCGGGCTTAGTCTTCGTTGATCCCTCTTCATACATTTGTGCGTGTGGGTACACAGAGCATACGGCCAGATGGAGGGATATAGGAGGGACTGCAGGAACATTTTTGGAGTGTCAGGTTAAAAGCACAGTAGTGGTGGTGGATGGATGATGGTGGGATTATGCTGTGGTGTTCACGAGGCTCTGTCTGAAAAAGTGTTGCCATGGGTAACCTATCTTAGGACCACTGGCTTCATTTTCTTTCTTTCTTTTTTTTGTTTCCAGGACAACAGGAACACGTCTGATGACAAGCCCGTTCAGCGTTCTAAGGTATGTTGCTTTATGTTCATATCCTTCTTGTCTTTTCTTAATCATACCTAGGGCTGCACGATAAATCGAAATGGAATCGAGATCGCGATTCGACAGAAGCTGCGATTGTCATGCGTATCTTTCAGTGAAGCACGGTTCTGTGATCAGCAGTAAATCTCCATCCAAAGGCCAGAGGGCGCTCTCGCGCTGAAACTCCAAATACACCTCGCAGAAGAAACCCAGAAAATCGCTGCAGCTGAATAAACAGAAGATTTAACTGCTTTCATTGATTCAACGTGACTAATAAACACACGACTACGGCAATATACGGTTTATCTGAGTTCTTATTATTATAATTTTCATTAAAATAAAGTATATTTATAATGCAATGCCTTTATCACTGCTTAAATACTATGAAATATGTTGCGTGCCTTATTCTGTGTAAGAAGCCACATCATCTCACAGAAGGATTTATTTCAAACACTCGACTGACATTATGAAGTGAGTTTGGAGTAAAAATGTTATTCAATGTGGTATTTTCACATGCTTTCAGATGGAGCAGCATTTACTTCACAGAGCCGTAGTTCACCTGAGAAGCTAAGCAAACAGCTGTCATTATCGCGAACGATTTCTTCAATTTCATAATCGCGCAATAAAATAACTTGTCAGTGAACTATGGCTCTCTGTAGCAAATGCTGCTCCATCTGAAAGCATGTGATGATGATTTCCTGCTGATTACAGAACCGGCGTTACTATCAAAATGCGCATGACAATCGCATTCGATTAATCGTGCAGCCCTAATCATACCCAACACTCCCTCTGGTACTAGTTTTGTGAAGTAAAGCAATCGGTTTTCTTCCTCCATGGGGTTTTGAACATGATTCAATGTTCAAAACCATTCATCATCTTATACATATTATTTTATAATACATTTCATTAGGGATGCACCGAAATTAAAATTCTTGGCCGAAGGCCGAAGGCCGAATACCGAACAAGGTTTTTCTAATTTTTTTCACCACTGCACAAATTAAATAGCCAAAATGTACTTTTTACTGTTTTGTCTTGCTTTTCAAAGAAAAAAATCTATTACAAAACAACAATTTAAAAGTATTTAACACTGAACATTTTTTAACATTCTAGCAGACATTATTATATCAACAAAGCACAATTTAACTTAAAATTAATTAGGGATGCACCATTGCTTTTTCTCAACTTTATTTTGGCGGAAAACGCGCAGGAAGACAACAGCATATTTATAAATGAGTCTCATTACGAATAAGTCGCACGTATCGCATTGTCACGTGCCTTGTAAAAAAAATCATAAAAATGTGACAGAGCAACTAAGTACACTGTTACAGCGCAGATTTCCCTCGCGGTTTGGACTTTGAACCCTGGCTAACAAGCAGATCGCGAGTTCATGCAGCGCTGTCAATGCAATGCGTGCGTGTATTAGAAAACATGATGTTCTGCAGTTTATTTACTAATCAGCCTTGCTGAGCAGAAGAGCCTTCTTTTAAAACATTAGAAAATATTACAGATCCCAATTTGAACACTATGTGTGAATGTTATAATAAATGTATTAACAGAGCTGTTGAAATTATAATCATTATTATTGTCTTACTTTTTATTTTATTTTACAGAACAACAGTAAAATTACAATACTAACATTTATGATTGTTTATGGAGTTATTGCTTTTTCTCAACTTTTATTTTGGCGGAAACACGCAGGAAGACCTTAATGCTTCTTTTTGTCGAAAACGGCAGATTTATAAATGAGCCCATAAGCTTTAACCAATGCAGTCTGAACCGGAAAGAGAATTGATTAGTTCATCTCTCGAGTCTTCGGGTTTGAGTCATTCATTCATCACGTGACAGCCCCATAAGCTTTAACCAATGCAGTCTGAACCGGAAAGAGAATTGATTAGTTCATCTCTCGAGTCTTCGGGTTTGAGTCATTCATTCATCACGTGACAGCCCCATAAGCCCAAACCCGAAGACTTGTCAGATAAGAGGTGAGGTGAGCTAATCATAGACTGAAGATCCAGGTAAACAATGAATTAATCTTTTCTGTTTCTTATAGCAGTTTTGTATTGTTTGTAGTGTGATCAACATTTGCGTAAGTAGTAGACGTATTAGGGAAGTAACACGTAACATTTTAATTATATTTTGCTAAAATGAACGAAATGACTCGGAAAAAAGATTTGTTCGTTTTGCTGAACGAAACTCAAAGGTCCGAGTCTGTAAAATGATCCAAACTTCCCATCACTAATTGCGCCTCTCACTCTTCGCTGGTTGCTATTTGATCGTGTCACATCATTGTTCGGTACAGTTTATTCTGTCTTTTTCGCTTACACCGAAAGAGCTTTTTTTTTGCTATTTTCGGCCGAATAATTTCGGTTACCGAACATTCGGTGCATCCCTACATTTCATAAATAAAAGATGAAATGCATTTTGAAAATATTTAATGGTAATAGATTTTTTACTTCTCCTGAATATGACTGTAAGATTTGTACTAAGGATATATGCTTATAAGGACAAATAAAGCTTCAAAACTAATTCAAGTAAGTTAATATAAGTTTTTGTCTCATGCACAGTCAGTGCAAGTCAATATTCTGAAGTCATTTAGTGCTACTTTGATCTGTTCTTTGATTGAAAACCAATGTCTTTGCTTGCGTTTCCTACCAGTCTTTCAGTTTTAAGACACAGAAGGAGACGTGTGCATCATGTGAGAAAACCGTGTATCCGATGGAGAGATTGGTGGCCAACAACCTCATCTTCCACAACACATGCTTCTGCTGCAAGCATTGCAACACCAAACTCAGGTTAGTCACTTCCTCACCAGCACAGCCTGAGAAAACGCCTAAAACTAGAGCAGTTAAACATGGGTTGTAAACTGAAAGAAGTCTTCTTTTGTAAGAAATCCTTTTGCTCTCCAAGGGTGCAGGTATCTGATCAAAAATTCAGTACAAACAGTAATATTGTGTAATATTATTATCATTTAAAATAACTGTTCTCTATTTGAATATATATTTTAAAAAGCAATGTATTGCTGTGATTGCAAAGCTGAGTTTTCAGCAGCCGTTACTCCAGTTTTCAGTGTCACATGATCCTTCAGAAATCATTCTGATATGCTGATTTGAGGAAAATTATACTTTTATTCATGGTGCTTTTATGAATAGAATGTTCAAAAGAACAGCATTTATTTGGAATAGTAAAGGCATTTATAATGTTTCACTCGATTGTCAATTTAATGCAGTAACATTTATTATTTTTTGAATGTATTTCTAACGTTATCTCTTGGCTTCTGCGCTCTGCAGTCTGGGGTCCTATGCAGCGCTGCAGGGGGAGTTCTACTGCAAACCACACTTCCAGCAGCTCTTCAAGAGTAAAGGGAACTATGACGAGGGCTTCGGGCGCAAGCAGCACAAGGAGCTCTGGGCCTCCAAGGATGAAGAGAGCATCACCAAGACAGCATAATCCTCAGTGATTTCCAAAGCACCTTTCCCCTCCCTAGCCAATGATGATGACCCTTTACATACTCTGCCCACATCAATATACACACACACACACACACACACACACACATTTCAAGCACACAAGCAGTTGATCCAGGCTTCTCATGATATCACAACACAATCACAGATATACCACCATGAGATAGGGTTGATTAGCTTCCCTTTTGTTTGTTGTTCATTTAATTTTTTTAATTAATCTTTTTTTTTTATCCTTCTCTGCTTGGTTTTCATTGTTATTTAGCTTTGGAAAATGTCATTTTGTGTTTGTGATGATTTTTTTTTTGTAGTGTTGTGGAGTTAACAGTTAGTTGATTGTGACCAAAATCTTTGTGTCCCTATAGGTGGGATGATTCACTTATTAGCGTCATTACGATCCTGTTTGGCAGTACTAGTATCAGTTGGTTTAGTTGATTTTCTGTCGTGAAAGGTTTCAAGATGGTTTAGATTATACACTCAGGTAAAGATTCTGGGTTGATGCATCAAGATTATTCAGCAATCTTTTATGTACATAGTGAACTTAACTGTTTTGTCCCTCACTTCAGTTACAGCAATCTATACCATTTTCAAACTAAATGGTTTAACAGCGTTCCTTAAAATGAGAAAACGGTCTTTTTTTTTATTATTTTGTCTGCTTTGCTGGCGCAGGGTATTTTATCTGTGAATCTACAGGGTACACTGTACTGTAAAGAACTCACTTGAGTTTACATCCCCCTTACTTTTCATTCTTTTTCATCCTCGTTTTATCTTCTTTTGACATTAAGAATTGGTATTTGACAGATCCTGTCAAATCTGTGATCCAATCAGACAATATCATTCTTATTAAGCATGAGTATCTTTTACCAAATGTAGTTGTAAACACAATATTTGCTCAGATAATATTTACCGTTACTGAATATTTACCACTATAAAATTAATTTGATTACAAATTAAGATTTAGACTTGCTGAAATTTAGACATAATCTTAAATCAGCCATAATTTCTGGCGCCCTCTAGTGTTTTGGATGATATTCCTTATTTGATCTAATGTTGGTTATTCTTTGCCATCTATTGATGCCATCTAGTGATATCTATGCTCATTTTATCAAACATAAATATTCCTTGTATATCTTATTTTAGTTACATTTAATGTTTTTCAGCAGACTGCACATCATATTTTTCTTTGTTGCTCAGTGATTTCTTGTAAAGGCATTTGCACATAAGTACCACTAAGCTGAGTGAATGTACTGTGATGCACTGTACTGCACTTATGCCTTGCTGCATGGGACCAAGTTTGTACAACAAAATTAAGATATTCACAGGGAATTAGGTCTCAGAGGAAATTACATTTATGATGCTTCGCACCCCCCCCCACCCCCACCCCCACCACCACTACTTCCTGTCAACTCATAGTTTTTGACTGTTTCCTGTGGGCTTCTCTGTGACGAGGTTTTGTGGGACTTTGAGCACATACGTAACCGTGTGGCTCGGAAGCATTGCTCGGGAATATGGATGGGTCGCAGTGATGCAGCAGTCACCCCTAGTTAGAGTTCTGTTTTTTTTAGTCCCGCTCCCGCAAGGTTCCATTCCACACCCACCTGCTCCCGCTATATATTCACTCTTTGTTCACCCGCTTAGAATAATTTTCTTCCCGACCCGACCGTTCCCGCTAAATTTAGATCTTGTTTCCAGAATCTCGCATTTAAATTTCCGCTACTGAAAGAGAGAGAGATCGGCTGACAAATAAAAGTGTAGTCTGCACAAAATTGGATGTTATTTTATTCGTCTTGTCAAGAGTCTTGAATTTATTGACTTTGACTTGAATTTATATGAATTATCTTAAGACACAAAATTCGTTTAATATTTTATGCAACACAGTAGGAAAAAGTGTCAGAGAAAATAAAAATGTTGTACAAAAAATCCGGTCGGGTCGAGAGCCGCAGGAATGCAGACCTCTACCCCTAGTGTTCATTGTTAAAAGCTGTTGTTCACTAAATGAATCATTTTTACAATTTAAATCAACAAACAGTCAGCAGTTGGGGTCTGAGCAGGAAGTGCTGTACATCTAAATGAACACTTTCATCCCAGGTTTTATATGCACACGTCAGTGTGAAACTGTGACTTGTGAATTATCACTGTGGCCATAAGCTGTGACCTCTCCAGAGGTTCATGTATTTGTGTGCAAACATCATTAATGCCATCATGTTGTTTCTTTTCTTTTTTGGTTTTCTAGTGGAACATGGTAAAGCTGTTCTGATAAGCCTGTATTTGTTAAATGTCATAAGGAAGTGGTCTGTAGATCGTTTTGCCTTTAGTTTTAGGGCCATGATAATGGCTTGTTGTGTTTGCAAATGTCTCGTCTGCCTTCCAGTGCAATGGCCTTTTGTCTGTACGTTTGAGGAGATTCTCCATTTAGACTAAGCCATTAAATATTTTCAACACCTTAAACGCCACAAAAGTCCCTGTGTGTGTATATATTTAAGATGACTGTGAAATTGAAATGCATTGCGAGGTTTAGATGAATTATCGAAAGCTCTTGGCATGAATGGAAATAATATTTTCATATTAAGTCTTATCATTTTAGTTGCATTTTTTTTGCGTTGAATCATTTTTAAGAACACTTTGTTTTCAGCTTCCTATGAGCTTTCCCCCCCAAATCAAATCAACTTCCTCACTTTCTATATGTAAATGATTTGGTCTTCTTTCCCATGCGTTTTCTTTTCTGTAGAAATATGCTTTTAATTTTGGAGCAAACTTTTCACAGACACAAATCACTGTGTTTACGCCAATTGTTAGTTGTGTTTGCACACAGTGCGCCAAGGTACAAATGGCACAATATTCCTGCAAACGCTCACTGTCTTTTATAAACTACAGAACAAATAGGAAAAAGGTACGCTCTTCTTTGCTCTTTTCTGATGGATTTGTAGTTCTTGAAATGTGTGAGTGTGTCTTTGTAAATGCATGGATATTTAAGGTTGCAAAAGATTATTTTTAAATGCTGTCGACTCTGTCCGCATGCGTTGAGTGAGAGGAGATAAATGTACGCAAAGTGTATTACTCTATATCTAAAACTTGATCAGTGGAACAAGGTGGCCTTAAAGCAGAAGGAGGTATTGGCTCTTTACTTGTCTCTTTTGTTCCCCATCAGGTTTATTTTTGTCTCAGTACTTTTATCAGCCCTCCAGTTCAACTGCTACAAGAATTTATAATAAAATATGATTTTGCTTTCTTTCACTTCCCACAGTCTTATCTCATCTTTTTCTCCTCCTTTTTATTTCTCATTTTTGTACACGCTTTTTGGAGAAAAACAATAAACGATATGCTGGTGTTGATCAACCCTTAGTTTGGATGTTTTCTTATAGTGAAGAAAATAAAATGTTAACTCAAAATATGAAAATGTACACTTTATTTTAGCTAGTTGCCAAGGTAACATTTCTTATTAAAATGTTTTAATAATTGATGTACTACACTAAAAATGAATAAATAAGGACGTGTTTAGAAAAAAAATAAAGATGACAAACATGGACAACAAATTTTACACAATTCTCAATGGTAATTCTTAAAGTGATATAATTCTTTAAAAAAAGAAACATTACAATGACTAAAATATATTCTTTAAAATATAAAAAGTACAGCAAACAACGGCATATATAACAGACAGCAGAGAAAAATTAATATGAGGTGAATTTAGTCACTTTTTACTCACTATTTTCAACACTTTAATTTGTAATGTTTATTTACAAGTAACATGAATATTGTAAATAAATACTGGTCCCAGATACAAGTCCAAAAACAAATCACACTAAGAAATATTTGCCGTGAAGAGGTCTGGTGTATATATGTTAAATGCATCACATTATTCATCTAAATACGGAACCTCAGGTAATCTCGCCCTTATTTATTAATTTTTTTTTAAATATTGTATTTTAATTATTATGATTTTTTTTTTACATTATCAAATCAAACAAAAAAGTAAGGACCAAGAGTCAAGGTAGCACTAAACAAGAGAGCACTGAAATAAATATTTTTATATTGAAAAAATAGGTATTTTATATATTTGGCTCTTAATAAATAAATATATATATATATATATATATATATGTAAATATATTGGTTAATAGAAAAATCAAAAAAGGTACAAACAAAACAGCCTTTAAGTGAACAAAAGTAAGAAATATCAAAATTCACAGTTGCAAATGGCTACAATAGGCAGACACAACTATAAGTTATATACATTGTATGGCATTGTATAACTATAAAAATAACGAGTCACTAGACTCGTTGAAAAAATTAGGTAATGTAATAGCCTTATTACTAATTGTAAGTTAATTTATGAAATGACTAAAAGAAGGGGTGGTTTTCAAAAATCTACACTTATGAATAAAAAATGTATCACAAAAAAGAAAGCTGTTAATCAAGTAGTGTTGCATACAATCTTTTAAGTATTCCAAACTTAAAGGCACAATATGTAATTTTCGCCGCTAGAGGGCGCGTATTCAAAATAAACAAATAGACAAAGGCGTAGTTTGATGAAGCAGTGACTGAGTGTGGAATCATGGGAGTTGTGGTCTTCATCCCCACAGCCGATGCAATCCGACGGTACTCGGGCAGAAATCATGTTCATGGATGAGCTAATGATTTATTAACGTAGTAGAGTGAAGCAGGGTGAGGCTGAAAGCCGTGGAAGTGAAACGAGGCACTGAACGAGCGGGACACACGTACGGCTCGAAAGCAGCGGAGCTTTTATTATGCCACAGTCGACCGTTTCCGCTCCTTCCGGTCGTGCGTATGTGGGGAAAAAAGCAGCGCTGTTTTATCATACTAGATACATTTGAATGTTCTGTTATAATGCTACTCTGTGCGGTCTTCACCGGTCTATTAAAACGCACAACATATTTAAGGGGTGATATGATGCGATTTCAGTTTTTCCTTTCTCTTTGGAGTGTTACAAGCTCTTGGTGCATAAAGAAGATTTGTAAAGTTGCAAAGACTAAAGTCTCAAATCCAAAGAGATATTCTTTATAAAATTTAAGAGTCAGCCATGCCTACCTAAAACGTCTCGTTCTAACACGCCCCCACATACCTACATCACTATGTGGGAAGATTTGCATAACACCGCCCAAATGTTCACGCAAAGAAAGAAGGCGTAACTTTTATTCTCGCTGTAGTATTGTTGTTGCCGCCGCCGCCATGTCGTGAAGGCACTGTGAGCTGATCCATGCTGGTTGCTGAGGAAATACTACAACTTTGCGCTGTGGATCGCCGGATCGGCTTTCACCGTGGACGAAGCGGAATCCAGCCCGGGATCGTCACATGTGGTTGCCGCAAGCCCGCCGGATGCTCCTTCGTTGAATCCGCTGCCTCTGCTCACTCTAGCCCTCCGGCTGTTCCTCACTTTATCCCCCGGCCTCTGCTCATTCTAGCCCTCCGGCTGTTCCTCACTTTATCCCCCGGCCTCTGCTCA